ACTAATTGTTTAATTTCAGGCTTATTTGACCCAGTTCAGATATATAAATCAGATATGTCAGAAACAAAGCTGACTTCCACCTGTCTAATTTAAATCATTACATTTTAAATAGTAATATTAGTAACATAATAATACAAATAATAATGCTGTCTCTCTCATCCTGTGCCACCCCAGTCACTCTGGCCGTGACTTTCTTCAGAAGTCAGCCATGCAGAAGTGTCCCGAGTGTCAGACACACACTCACTCTGTTTTATAACAGTGTTTCTTTCATTCTGCTCCATGCTTATGTTGCGTGCCACGCCCCCCTCCTCTGCTGCTGCTGCACTGCACTGTTGTTAAACCGTGTCCATGTACATTTAAAAGACAAACTAAACACTTGAATTACTGAATGTCAGCTTTTCTTCCAGTCACAGTTTAAATTTTATTTATTTATAATATTTTGTTCTTATTCAGTTTATTTGTATTGAAAAAAGGTTGTGACCTCGCTTCTTTTCCTGTTGCTTCTTTTTAAATGCTGGAAAAAAATGCTATTTAGTATTTAAAAATAAATGTAATGAAGTCTGTAAATGAATCCTTTTGTTTGTAAAGGTCACAGTTACTTGTAAGTCCTAAACTATAGAGGGAGACTATTGATTACTATTGCTCAGCATTCAATGCATGTGTACAAAATGATACCCCCACACACTCTCAGGAGAACATTTGAATGCATCTGCACACTAATCCTGTACACACATCTTTTGCTTTTATATTGATACCAATGCTGCTATTAGGCTATACATATTATGGTTAATTTGCTGACTCTCATACTTAGTCATATTATTTTCTTCATGTTAATTTTGTGTTTTTCAAATTTTCTGAAATTTAAAAAATATTTAGATGGAGGTTGAAAACAAGCCTGCTGGGTTCCCTGCCTCCCTCTGCACTGTATATTATTATTTGTAATTTTTTAAATTCTGTGCTGGATAAAATGTAGTTTACCAATTTTTTTTTGTGCTAGCCAGCATTTTATTTTTAGTTAACACCGAGTGAAATACTGTTTTTTTTCTATTTTCAGATTTAGTGTAATTATGTGGCATCATGTTAATTCTTATTGGGAACTTTTCTATTCCTTGACACTTTCTGTCAGAGTCACTGGTGAGTGACAAAAAATGTATAGAGCTGTAAGAGTTTGGTGGCATGTAGCTTGTACACATTTATTTTAGTTTCCCTTTTTTTAAAACACTGTCTTGCTCACCACTGACTGGGGATTTTGCTCCAAACTATGACACATTTATGTTTGTGCTCAGGTGAAGCTCTACCGACACATCAGTCCAGACCACCTGCTGCAGGTCTGCTCTAGAGTTTGTCCGCTGCTGGAGGGGGAGGTCCCTGCCAGCGTTCCCGGACTCATCAGCCTGCTGGGAGCCGGCAGGCAGAATCTGCTCCGCACCAGCAAGAGTAAGCATTTAAACAGTGCATGTGCACCTGAGAGGCTTTCACAAACACACATGTAAACCCCCCCCAGTCAGATGTTATCTTACCACATATTTGAATAGACTAACAAAAACTTTCATGTGCGAAGGAAAATCTAAGTGGAGCTTTATACGGAAAAGATCCCACAGGCTATAAGACATATCAGAATCAGTATAATGTGTGTTTTCAATGACCACCTCTCTCCAGGTTGCAAGCATGTTGTGTGGAAGGGCTCAGCACTGGCTGCCCTTCACTGCGGACGACCACCGGAGCCGCCAATTATCTATGGAAGCCCACCTAATATTGGTAAGAAAACCCTTTCATTTAATAATAGAAAAAATAACATTCATCCATTTTCTTTAATCTTTGTTTGCTTTAACTCCTGTTTGTCACTTCTTTACATACTACATTATACTGTATCTTTGCTTGCTAAGGTCTCATCTGACAGCAGCATTTGCCTCCTAAGTGTGTTCAGTGTGTCTTTGCTGATTCTGTTTTACTTCCATTAAACAAAGTTTTTCACTCATTTGACACTGTCCTTTTTTAATGTATCATTGGTGTACTTATCTTCTCTTGGCGTCCAGTGGAGACAAGCTTCGGCCGTCGATTAAACGGATCCTACCGTCTCCGGCAGCTGGTGCCCACTGCCGTGTACCAGCACATGAAGATGCACAAGAGGATCCTGGGACACCTGTCGTCCGTGTACTGCGTCACCTTCGACAGGACAGGAAGACGCATCTTCACGGTAAGGCTGCAGGTTTTTACGCTGGCGTGTGTGCTGGTGTGACGCACCTTACCTCTTACACACCAAAATTAGCAGGTATACACAGGTTTTTAAATGATTGACTCCTTTCTTATTGCCAGTAGAGAAGTTTGGCTTTCTATTTTTCTCTGAGTCATGTTTGACATCACAAATGCCAAACAATGTTGCATATTGCAAAATAATAGGAAAAAAATGTGGTTGCACGTTGTTCCCAAGAACAAAAAAACTATTTCAGTCAGGAGAGACACCATTTTGAGAATGAACACATTTATTGCCATGTATGCACAATAAGAAAAGAAAATGATGTGATATAAATGACACCCCTCGTGATGTCATCAAGTAGCACAGGAAACCTTCTGGGGTCTAGACACTAGTGGTGGGCTCTGGATATGGAGACTGGGGGTGAGTGAGAAAGAGGGGGTTCACAGCAAATAACTCATGACGGTGACAGAGAGAAGAACAAATTTAAAGTTTGACAGCAACAACACGATTGGCTGAAGGAGATCCTGGCAAAATCTGATTTGATTACAGTAGACATCCAACAGTCAGCTGATTAGAAAGAGTGAAAGAGAATTGTGAATGAATGAGACATGGAGAAAGTCTTCCGTCTTCAACGTGCATGGGTTTTTGTGCGCCAACGCACACAAGTTCAATTTGCATCATAATTTTGCGCTTAGACTGTCAAAATAAAGAAGGAGAGGAAGTGTTTACCCAGGTGTTTTGTTTCCATCACTGCCATTTGGAGTTAGAGCCGATAAACACCTGTGTCTACTGCAGAGTCATTTGACCCGGGAGCGAATGCTGATTGTATCCTTTCCCATCGCAGACAAAAGCCAGATGTTAGTGGGTTTTTTGACCAGTGGAAAAGGGGCTTCTTTGCATTCTACCTGTTCAAAAGTGACTTCTCTGACACTGTTGTGCGATGGGCTCTGTGTTTGTTTAGACTCACCTCTTGTGCGTTATGTGTACGCGACTGATTGTTACAAGCTGTCCTTTGCTTACCAAGATGACCAAGCACCTGTAGTCGGTGTTGTAACAGCTCCAGCATCACGTAATTAATGTTTACCTCACACGGGTGGAGACACTTTTACTCAATGACTCACAGCTATAACTGATCTTAGCCTGCAGAAGAGGAAAGTTCGAATAACTTTATGATAATGATCGTGTTTTAAGGAACGGAAAGTGGGGGAAGCTGACCTTTGTCCTCTGGATGCCTCTGGTTTCGCTGTATTTCCTTTTTTCCCGCTCCTGTTTGTGAAACGGAACAAGCATCGTATTAAATATTAAATCAACAAGGAGATAATCTTGATTTAATGTTTCACTCCTTCTGTTTGGGTTCTCCAGTCAGACACTGCCTGCTGCTATACACCATTTTCAGCTTTCACTTCTTAAATCTCTAAAAATGGCTGTCTGCTGAGAGGGAGTGTGGTGGGGGGGGTCGATTGACTCTCTGTCTCTCTTTTCTCTTTATCTCTCTTTCTTTTTCCTCTCCCCCTTGCCTTTTTCTGCGCCGCCTTTCCTTTGTTCCTCTCTCTCTCTCTCCCCTCCTCCTCTTCTTCTCTTTGCTATTTCTCATCATAACTGGAGAAAATGTTTCCTCTGAGGCGCTGGCTAAGTGCCAGAATTAAAATTCGTTCTTAGTCTCCCTCACTTTCTCTCCTTCCCTTTTTTTCTCTCCTCTCAGTTCGTTTTTTTCTCTCTCCCTTTCTCGCTGTCTCCTTTCATCACAAGATCATTTTTATTTATATATTTTCTTTATTTTTGGATCTCTTCCATCAGGCTTTGCTGCAGTGGCCATGGTTGGTAATTGATTATGTAGTTTAGCTGAAACATTATCTGTGATCATGTGTGATCAATGCATATAGGTTTGTTTAAACAATTGATTGGCAAATGGCCATATTGATTTGAGTAATATAGCTTTAGAAATGGCTCGGAGCTCATTATCACGGCCACAGTGAAAGGACAAATTAGAGCTGTTGTGGATTATTTGTCCTGGTGACAGAAGCTAACACAACTTCACATTCAAAGCAACAAGGAAAGTTGCTGTCATGTCTTTATCTTTTCCATATCATGCACCTTTCATGCCTGGCTCTCATTTGACCACGTCAGTTTTTGCCCATCTTGTCCCATCCTTAGTTTGTCCTTGAATTCTCTGAATTGCTTGTTGTTGTAATCAGTCCACAAAATTACAGTTCTAGTCACGCTTAAAAAAAAGAATGCTGCAGAAAGCATGGCCTGTTTTTCAAAAATTTTGGAGATATAAAAGGGTGCATGTGTTGGCATGGTCTGTGACCAAATAACTGTAATCTAAGCTGATGGTCTTATTAGAGCCAGATCCTTTGATTTGTCAGAAACTATTGATTTTGATAGAAAGTTTTTGCACATTTATGGATTTTTTTTAAAGCTGTAAGGCTCCTTTCTGTTTCTAGTGTTGTAGGGTTGCAGTGGTACTCTGTTTACTTTGGGTAGTCCAAAAAACAACATGGGGGTTGTCTTGGATGACAGATATCCAGTTTGGAAAAAATGTGGATGCAAAGTGGCTGCCAAAGGAGGAAACATGTCAAACTTGTTTGCTACAAAAACCATCCCTCTGTACACCTTTCACTGACAAAAAAATGTGTGAAGGGTCAAACGTCAATCATAAAATGATAAAAAGGAAATTATTTTCCAGATACTGCCTCCTGGCTACAAACTGGCAGCCTATTGTGTGTGTTTATGCATGTGTGTGAGTGTTAAAAAATTAAATATAATTTTAATCATGATAAAATAACACTCTGGTGACCCTACTTGATAGTTGTTACCTGTTGGTTTGAGAAGTTATTTTAAGATATTAATCAAGACACTGATGGTTCTGTAGAATCACAAACACTTTAACCCCTGGTGAACTGGATCACCACTTCTCTACTCTGAGTCCCTTATGGCTGTTTTCTATTTATGTTTATTTGATCTTGAGCATCTTGAATTTGCTTTTCATGACTTATTACTAAATATAAATATTCTACTGAGATGACTTCTCCTCTAAAATGTCCTTATTGCTAGAAGCCCACAACAGCTTTTGTCGAAAATGAGACATCTTGTGAGTTTCTCCGCCAATACACAATAGTCTTTCTCTACAGTTTGAGATGACTCTTATCTTCTTCAGTGTAGCTCTGCACTGGTCTGTCTGTCTCTCAGCAGTGTGAAAAATATCTTTTTCGGGTTTCAGGGTAGCGAGTGTCTGTGTGTGTCTGTGTGTGTCTGTGTGTGTCTGTGTGTGTCTGTGTGTGTGAGATTAAATTGGTGAGACATTTAGTGTGCAGTAACTCCTCATTGTGAAAAACTAAATGAAGGTCAGAGGTTGATGAAACATTTACGTGGTTGGAAGACTTTGATTCCCAGATAAACCAAACTTATGTAATTTGTATCCTGTATTCAAGCCAATAGGGAGAATTTGAATATAAAACAGTCTAAGTATGTGGTGTTATTTTAAATAGTTAATGTATTTAATTTAATTTTCCATCACAGATGAGCTGAGTGACTCATTTTGTATTGAAATATGACTTTGTGTCTTAAGTTTGGATCCTTGTAAATTCATGCATGGAATAAAACACAATATACTCACACTATGGTAGTGATTTGCCTGCTAATTACCTCTGCTATGGAGGTTATGTTTTCATTAGTGTTGTATAAACTACTGGATCAATTACCAGGAAACAGAAACATATTTGATTACTTTCTTTAACATTGCGAGATTGCAAGAGGTTTTTCAGGGGAATAATTCCTGGATCTTGATGAAAGAAATCAGGCACATTTGGGGGACTGGCAAATGCATTGTTAACCTGCCTGTTGGAATGGGCTGTTTGCCTGGCCTGTGGTGATGCTGGTTACATCTTTCTCTCTAAAACTTTAAAAGTCCCCTGCAGTAATTGAGCTGTGGCAGGTAAAGACTGGCTGCAGGACCCTGAAGCTGCGCCACTGCCACTGCACAAAGAGCTGTTAACTTGTATATTTGAAGTTCGGTGAAGCTCAAATGCAGAACACAATTCCTGTTGTCATGAGCGACACCAGCACTTTCTTTGATGACTCCCAGTTACTGCTGTTACAAAGCACTGGTGTTTATTAATAGTGAACGCTTCATGTGTACAAATCGCACCACATTTGACAATGCACTTCCTTGGTCTTATGTCAAGATAAGATGAATGGTTCTTGAAATGTGCGTCGCACAGAGAGACAGAGATAGATTTCTGGAATTATTAGATTGATAGAAGATATAGGAGTGTATGAAATTTGGTGGAACTTGACAGAATTTAAGGAGGACCAGGGCCTTAGTGGAGGTATGTGCTCTACTGAGTGCCATTCTAGTGTTACTTATTAGATAATGTAGTGAAGGTGTTTACATGACAGTGTAACTCCCTTTACTGGTATTAATCAAATCAGTCTAATGGTTTGATTATCTGGTGCCCCCATATGTCTGTTGTTCTTTCTTGTGGCACCGCAGATACACACTATTTATCTATATTTATTTATTTGTAAATCTATTTGTGTATCTGAAAAGTCTTATTCTCTCTTGTGTTTGTGTTCAGATTCCTAATCTGCAGCCTTGAGCTGCAGCTTGCTCCGATTTCAAAAGTCTTTTTGAACTTAACATGCTTTCATCCGTCTTACAAGAAGTGTGTTTCAGAAGCAGACAAGCCACATCTCAAACTATTAAAAATACTAATAAATATCATTAATAATCTTTCCCAGGGCTCAGACGACTGCCTTGTGAAGATCTGGGGAACAGACAATGGACGCTTGCTGTCGACGCTGCGGGGCCACGCCGCCGAGATCTCCGACATGGCTGTGAGCTACGAGAACACCATGATCGCCGCAGGTTCCTGTGACAAGACCATCAGAGTGTGGTGCTTACAGACCTGTGCCCCTTTGGCTGTCCTGGAGGGGCATGCAGCATCTATCACCTCACTACAGGTATGACTATTGACAGAGGATGTGGTTTTACACGCGTGCTTATCTGTGTGTGTGTTTCCTTTGTACAAAAAGATCTGAAAGCTCTTGATGCCATTCTTAAATGCCTGCACTCATGCTCTCATGTCAGCATTTTGCATGTTGGTTAATATTATGCTGCCAAATGATCTTTGTAGAATAGAGAGCCACTTTTTTAGATTATGAGCATATGAAACTTTACTGCAGTCCACGGTCACTTTTGCATATTACGTAGATGAAGAGCATAACTCCAACATATGGACGATTGATGGAATGACTGGCTGATATCCAGTATCATTTCTCGGAGCAGACTACTGTGCCATATATGAACATAATGGTGTTAAAAGATTGTGTATGTCGTTAATGGATAAGGCTGGTGTTGTTTATTGTCAAAATTCCTTTTAAAACAAAACCGGTCATTGGTTTAATGTATTAATCAGCATTCGTCTTTTGAAGATTAAGCCATTCCTGAGATACATGGGGAATGTAGTTGTTAGTTTATGTCCTTGTTCAGGTTCATTATTGCAAACCTCCACCCACCAAGCTCCGCACCAGACCCGACACATTACCCCTATTTATCTCCAAGTCAAATCTGAACCTGTCTGGACCTGTTAACCTGTTGACCCAACCGGTCCCCCTTGATTAAACACATATGTTTGCAGCACCTACAAGTGTTAATGGGGTTCCTCACCGACAACGTGCTTAGCTTGTGGCTATCAAAAGCATTTTACAAGCTGCAAAGCCACTGAAAACATATTCACCACTGGCTATATTTGTCTTTATGGCATCCACGTTGATGGACTAGTTTGCTGTCTGGAGTGACAGAGTTGAGCAGAGGTGGTCAGAGGTGTCATAGGCTTTGAAAAAATAAAAACAAATCCTTGTGGCTGACGAGGCTTCATATAAGCCGATTTAGATGTTAAAAATACTGCATCATTTTAATTTCTAATTTCTCCAGGAAAAAACATACTTAAGTCCTCACCTGCTGCCTCACATGTTCATTTCCTTTTTTATCTGAGCCTGTACCTGTTAATTTATATAAAATTATGTTATACCTGTAACACAACCTTTTAACAGGGACCATTAGGATTGGTTGTTAGTTTTGGTCTTTTTATGGGACTTGTCAAAACATAGTCAGCCTTGTCCTGTGAATTTATGCTGTTTAATCACTCACAGTTTAAAATGGCCTCTCTATGTCCTCTCTCTCTCTATCTCCGTCTTTCTACATCCTTAAAAATGCTTTTTAAGCCCATGTGGGTTAGTTGTCCTTTTTTTTGCTGTAGTGTTTGGAACATCATTAGAGTGTCGACAATGATGGGCTGTAACCTCTCATTGGTTGTGTTTGCAGTTTTCTCCTCTCTGTTGTGGCTCCAAGCGTTACCTGTCCTCCACCGGAGCTGACGGAACCATCTGTTTCTGGCAGTGGGATGCACGCACGCTCAAGTTTTGGTGAGAAACACAAACGTAGATTCACAAAGTCTCACCTGTACAAATGCTATTCACACCTTTCGAAATTACATATTTGTTATGCATGTTTGTGACTTGGTGAAAAACGTTATTATCCTGTGTATTCAGTACATTATTTAGTGTTGTATTGATTTAAAGTGTGCATGGACTTTGGATGTTGTTTTTACACTTTGCTACTTTCACTTTCTACTTTCTGTTTATGTTGGATTTGACTCTGACGTCTTGCCACAACATCCAGTGTGTAAATTTACTTAATATGACAAGTAATAACAGTGGCTACGTCTACATGGACACTGATATTCCAATGTTACACTGATTAAAACAAAAGCCTGAATAAGACACTGCAATGTAAACAACATTTTCTGATTACTCTGTTTCTGTTCTACATGTGCATGTGCAGCCAGAGACCCAGTAAATTCACGGAGCGTTCCAGGCCTGGTGTCCAGATGATCTGCTCCTCCTTCAGTGCAGGTGAACACAACACACTCTGATTTTCACCACACATGCCTCCACACAACAGCAGCACAGGGGGAAGCAGAAGTTAAACAAAAGTGGACAATTAGACCAGTTTAACTGAAGAGCCATACTCGAGTGTTGTGTGCTGCTTGTCAGTAAATGTGGAATAAGTGTCCTTCCCAGTTGGTGAGAGTGTATTTATGTCTTGAGATGTTATCGACCTTGAACATCTGATAAATGGCTACCAGCTCTGAAAATACAAGACAAATTGCTGCTACTCATCCTTGAGGTATATAATAACTATTGTGTATTCTTTTATGAATCTTAAATCCATTAAATATAATAAAATGCTGGAATGTTTGGTCTCTTTGATGCCACTGAGCCACAGGCATTAAACAGAAACGAAGCTAAGAATTGTAAATTAATGCATGTGTGCAATAGCCTAACAAAACTTCTGTGTGTGTATCCAGGTGGGATGTTCCTCGCCACAGGAAGCACGGATCACATCATCAGGGTGTACTACTTTGGTTCAGGCCAGCCAGAGAAGATCTCTGAACTGGAGTCGCACACAGTGAGTCAATGGAAAAACTTTGTTTTTATGAAATTGTATGTCAAAGTAAGATGCTTAAAAATACATAGTGATGACTTATTAATCAACAAGTTTAATTTAAAACGTATGTTTAAAGCTTTGTTGTGTCAATTTGTTATCAACCGGTTTTTGTTTTTAAAATTGTGGTGTACAAAATGATAAAAACATGATTTTGTTATTGATTCATCAGTCATCAGGTTTCTCTTTTTTAGTCACCACATTTGTATTAATTTATGTCTTTTACATTTATTATGAAGGAGGTTACAGAAATCCATTATATAGATATACAAACAAATAATACAAAAAGATGAAACAAAATGATCTGAACAAAATTATATACATATATTTGTATATGTACACAAAATACATGCTATATTATAATGTAATTGTGCAAATTAATTCTAATGAAAAAACAGACAAACCCAAGATCTACTTACTTACTTTCAAAAAGCTTGTAAAAAGACATTTATTTGTAATTCACAATCAAAGTGAAATTTCTTGTTTTGACTTTTTTCTTGTTTTTTTTCTCACCTAGGACAAAGTTGACAGCATCCAGTTTTCACACTGCAGTGACAGGTAAGTTTACACAGGATGTGCGTTTGCGTGAGCCTCATAGTTGTAGCGGTAATTTGTTTTTATGGAACCTCAGGGTGTAATAATGTAACTTGACTGATCAGCAGAAATACCACTGTTACTTACTAACCGCTACATGCTCCAATACATGTTCTCTCCCTCACAGTTACACACAAATACGCTTGAATATATCAGGCACTCACTGGGTGTAAATCTGTGTGCCTGTGTGGAGTTTGCAGAAAAACAAGCTCAGCTTTAATTCCCGTGGGCTGCTGTAATCTCAGCAGTGAGGGAGGTAGTGTCTATGCAGAGGGGAGCAGTGGAGGGGAGGGAGCGTACAATTAGTGTACACTGATGTGTGCAGATGAAAGCAGCCATTGTACAGCAGAAAGCTAAAATAGAACTAAGTGTTATTTTTACAGTTTATTTGCTGCATGATTATGTTTTCACAAATCTGTGTGTGTGTGTGTTGTAGGTTTGTGAGCGGCAGCAGGGATGGTACAGCACGAATCTGGCAGCTGCAGCCTCAGGGCTGGAGAAGCATTCTGCTGGACATGCAGACCAAATTACCCGGGTACGTGTGAGTGTGTGTGTGTGTCAGAGTGTGGCTCTTCCACCAGTGCTGTTGTGCTTGGAGCACAGAGCTGTGGGCTGGGATGGTCCTGCGGGTTACAATGTCAGGCGAAGTTTTTACAGAAATCAATCAAAGACTCCCAGACCCATTGTATTCCAGGAATCCCCGTTGAACGCATTGCTTGGAAGTAAAAACATTCATTTAGCAATAGTTACATGAGATTTAAATCCATTTGTGCCACCAGCCAAACGTTTTTCTTTCAATTACATGTGAATTAATTTATTCAGAATTGGGTGAGATTATAATTTAATAATTTACAGAGCATAAATATACGAGTTATAAAAAACAGTATATTCACACCTGTGGCACGTAGTGTGAAAGTGATTGATTACCTGATAGCTTCCAGACAGACTATAGATTTACTGCAGGCATCACTGACTGAAAAAATGGAAAAGACACCAACATGCTATGTAAATCTTGTAGTGCGAGAATGAACTCAATGAACATCCAACAATGATAATAAATGCAGATAACCTGGTTATCTAAAAAACAGGGATTTTAATCTTCAGGCACACAAATACCTGTCTCATCTAGGAAGACAGAAAGTACAGAAAATCTAAGCACAAGAAAATATTATCTTTTTGAAATAGAAATATTTTGAATATTACCTTGGACTATGAGGGCCACTTAAAGTGGAAACAAATTCTAAGATATCAACAATAAAGTCATTATATAATGAGAATGAAATTTTAATTTTAGGATACATGCCATTTTAGAGGCAATTTCAGAAAATCAGCCATCATCTGGGTTCAAATGAGGAATTTGAAGCATCCTGTTAATTTGTACTTGAGCAAAGATTTCAAAAACAAAATATGAAATCTTCTGGCTCATCAGCATCACATTATCATAAGTATCAGGACTTTGAAAAGAATTGCCTTCTTTTGTGGAGGAGAAAAGGTCGTCCAATGTGAGGCTTTTGTTAGTTACATCTGCTTCATGCTTTCTCAAGAACTTATGAGATTGGTTCAAGATTTTGGATCCAGATGAAGTGGAACTCTGGTGAGCACAGGTTTTTCTTGCCGCTTATTTCTTACAAATGTCTTTATTCTCATAGCAGGTGAGAAGAGAAGGTTAAGGTGTGAGATTTGCTTGTTCCAAATGAATTATGTAAAAAAGGAATGAACAGGTGAATCCCTGATGTCAGTTTTTTGTCAGACAATATGTCTTTGATTTGCTCTCTTGTTTAATTTCTGTGTGAAACGTAAACACAACTGATCTCAACTTGGAAAAAAACCTGTCATCAACATCCACCCCTCAGGAAGTACAACCCTCCTCCACTGGAAGACAAGGTGACCAAGCTGAAGGTTACCATGGTAGCGTGGGATCGCCATGACAGCACGGTGATCACAGCAGCCAACAATCTGACGCTGAAGGTGTGGAACTCCACCACGGGAAACCTGGTCCATGTCCTCATGGTATGCAGCAACTAAACACATTCAGACAAACAGAGACACACAAGTAACAGGACAAAAGTAAACACAAGCATGAATTTAGGATTAACTCAGGTTTATGAGGTTTTTGATTAAATCAAGGGTTATGTGTCAATCTTCTTCTAACAGTTCACTAACGCTTTCCTTGTGTTGCTGCTTGAATTAACTTTGACTAGTGTGAGTGATGATTAACTTTTAGGTCTCTCAGCAGTAGTGTCATCACTGATTTTTGCACATGTTAATGTTTTGCAAGCGCTGCCCTCCAACCACCCATGTCACAGTGTTTTTTGATTATCGCTGATCTTTTACAAATACACTGTGGATTTTTAAACTGATTTCTTACCTTGAAAATCTAAATGCATTACCCTAAATATATTTTCTACTTTTATTTGTCAAGTTAATAATAATACATTATCTTATTATGGGATGGTAATGCAGGGTTAGCAGGGACTGTTGGAAACTCTACACAGTGCTGCTTTTAAAGGCATGCGACCTGTGATTGTAGTGGACATTGGTCAAATATCATATGGATTCTGTTCTTTCTAACATTACAACGCTTGTGTTTTAGTAGCTGACTGAATTATTGGATGTCAAAATGCACTTAAACAGAGAGAGTAAAGCAAGTGACACAAATTATGCTCAATGTTGCCCAAGTGTAAATCAACCTTTAATAAAAACACTATTGATTTCTCTTGAATCATCTTTATTTCTTACAATTGTCTTTATCCAGACGTTCATGTTGTTTATTGACAGGGTCACGAGGATGAAGTGTTCGTTCTGGAGCCACACCCTTTTGATCCAAGAATCCTGTTCTCAGCGGGGCATGATGGGAACTGTATTGTGTGGGACCTGGCCAGAGGCGCCAAGATCCGATCCTACTTCAACATGGTAAGATTCTCACTGTCACTGTCTTTCTCACTTCTCCTTGGCTGTTCACACTGAAGGTAAAATGTTCTTTTTCACCAAAGTTACAGCAAATAAACACAATGTTGCCTGTGAAGAACCAAATCTAAGTTGCACGTCGTTCTCATAGATGGGAAAAACAACAACAATGAATATTTATGCTTTGTGCGTTGTGGCATCATGTTAGAAAAGGTTGGATATTACTGTGTCTAACCAGGTTTTATGTTTCCATCACGGATGAGAAGATCTGGATCCGTACAATATCCATGATTTTCTAAAGTCATTTAACCTGGGAATGAATTTTAATTGCACCTTTTCCTGCTAAAGACAGAAGCCAGATGTTAGAGGGTTTTCTCTTCAGGTCCCGATCCAATTTTCCTCCTCTTTTGTGTGACATGTTATCATGTTTTGTTATGCAGAGAATTAGCAAAAACACACTCAGGTTATCCTTGTTTGATGTTTTGTTCTCTGGACTGCGAAGATATGTGGTTTTAATCAAAAATATTCCTTTTATATTTGCTTCTTTCCCACCACACATTCTTTTCGGTTTGTTTCCCAGCGTTACTCTTTGTCTCACATTCCTTCCTTCTCACCCCCCCGCCCCTCTGTGCTTTCTCTTTCTCTCTCTGCCGTCTCACTTTCTCACCTTCGTTATGGCATTTATTCCGTCATTTAATTCATTATGTGTGAGTGAAATCATTGCACCGCACTCATATATGCCGCTGTGCATATTCATCTTGTGTGTTAATTATCAAAGCCACCACTGCATTTCCTGCATGGGTCACTATGGTAACCAAGGACAGCATTAATCACAGTCTCAAAACAAGTGAGTCACTCAGAGCTGGTCAGTCGCCCAAATCCTGGTGACAATCACAAACTGTGTGAAAAGGCCAAATTTCAGTTTGAAAGTTAAGGAAATAGTGTTGCATTTTGGGAACTAACCGTGTTTACTTTAGATAAGAAGAAATATAGCACTCTTGAGGGTCAACAGATCATACATTCTAAGGTTCAGATCAGATCATGGTTTTTAGCTTGGATCATTCGTTTGATCGACAAAGAAAGGGAGACAAATATAACATTATTTTCTGTTTACTTAAGAACTTGAAGAACAATTACAACAAGTGACCGTTGCAACTTTCAGATGTTCAATGTTCATATAAAGTTTTAAACTAGTATAATTGATATTTACTGGTGAAATTGATGTGCATGTGAACATTAGTGAATAAAAAATAGCCTTTGTTTGTTGGGTTTCCGTGCTAGTCCCACCACAGACAAATTAGGGTGATGTTGCTTCAAAAGTGTGGCCATGCTGGATGTATTTCCATTGTCATATGTCTTTCTCGTGGCCACATACCCCAACGGTTTTGTCCGCCACCCTATTTCTGTGATACATCCCACCTCCTCCCATCAGCCCTCTCTTCAAAGCCATGCCTCGAAAAAAACTCACTCGCGCACACTGTCTGACAGCTTTATTTATTGATGGCTATTGGGAAGTGAAAAGGGTTATGGTATTTGGTAAAAGTATTTCAGGAACGTAGCAATCCCACATTTAAATGATGGGAGCGGGGCTTGTCCAATTCTTCCTCTGTTCACATTAGTTCCGAACAGTGAGAGGTAGATCCGTACGGATCAACCTTAAAAAGTGAGGCTTGGATGCAGGAAGAGACAGTTTACTTGAATCCACCAGCACTTTTCAGCTGCAAAAATGAGAAAATCTATGTTTTTTTATGGCTTTAGTGAGCTGTAGACTTCAAGACTTTATTTGTGCACACCAAATACATACAGCAGTCACAGGCAATGAAATTCTTGGGTCACAGGCTCCCTCTAACCATGCTCAAAATATTTAGACAGAAAACCCCGCAAGAATAGAAAAAAAGAAACAATAGAAAAACTAGAATATATCAAATAAAACTAAATTAATAAAATACTGTTAGTGGTAGTGCAGTAAGCTCTGGTAGGTTGTATATTACACTGACAGATGTGAGAGTGGTCTTTTCTAACACCCAACAAGTAAGTGCCTTTTCAAAAATGCAGAACAATTTTTCTCTTTATTGGAGCATAGCCTGTCCACTGCATCGTGTATTTAACACACCTTCTGGAATAAGGAAGTCTGTTTATGCAAGCATACACTGCTTATTCTTTTAAACACTGTTGTATCTGTGCTGCCGCAGTAACCCTTCAGCTGCGGTAGAAGGGGATTGAGAGTTCAGTCTTTCAGGTTTGGCACATGCAGAGTCTTTTTCATGAATAAGGGACAAAGATGTTTTCATCTTGTGTTTGAATGGAGCTGTTGAGTATAAGTGAAGGAAAACCCCCAGTTACACTAAAATCATCAGGCAGTTCATGGTCTGAACTGTTAGTTTCAGTTTCTACAGCTGTTTTTTTGTGTGCTTATTACTTCTCTTTCTGCACATGACATGCTGACTATTTTATGATCGTTTGCTAGAAATGTGAAATACTACTGACCTGAAATGGAATTAACACAAAACAATATCTGAAAGTTATTTGAAATCTTGTAGAGCCACACTTGTATGTGACATTCATGTGGCTCATTGAAAGGTGCATGTAAAAGTGTGTATCAGACATTTGGATTTTAAACAACTACTACAGATGCCAGGTAGTGTAATACTGTGATTTACAATGAGCCCTATATCTTCTTATTCTCTTCCCTCTTTCTCTCTGTGGATAGATTGAGGGCCAAGGACACGGGGCACTGTTTGACTGTAAATGTAGTCCAGATGGACAGCATTTCGCAGCCACAGACTCCCATGGACACCTGCTCATCTTCGGCTTTGGCTCCAGCAGCAAGTACGACAAGGTAAGGCGACAGGATCACATACATAAAGATGTATCTATACCTGATATTGAACAAAAACTTAAGCACTCAAGGATGCCCTCAGATCAGACATGGATAGATTGTTAATGACATGATTAGCTGTAAAATGTGCCACCTAAATGTACCTTTTATTCTCCACCTCTGCTTCAGATTGCGGACCAGATGTTCTTCCACACCGACTATCGGCCGCTGATCCGGGACGCCAACAATTACGTCCTGGATGAGCAAACACAGCAGGCGCCACACTTAATGCCCCCTCCCTTCCTGGTGGATGTAGATGGAAACCCCCACCCCCCTAGATACCAGCGGCTGGTGCCAGGCAGGGAGGGCTGCAGGGACGAGCAGCTGATCCCACAGATGGGTGTCACTTCCTCAGGTACGGAGGCAGAAATCAGACCCTCAGCAGTATCGTGGCTTCATGTTCGGGGGTCATGAAGTGGGATTTGGCATTTGCTTTCTTGTACGTGTTCAGATCAGATGTTTACATAGGAGGCTTATCAGAGCCTGTCTATCAGCTCGTCAAAGTCCCCGGTCAGACCTGATATTAACGGATGGATGGATAGATATATAGATAGAGTGAATCAATTAGCTATTAAATTATTGGTGGGTCAGATGATTTCAGATAAATAGGCAGTCCTTTACATGTGTCCTAGGATGCATTTGTGTTCCCACAGCTAACAATATGGCCATGTGAGTCCCAGACCAACAGGTAATGTGGTTTGGTCAGATCTCAGGATGCATTGAGGACACGTTTGGGTGCGTTCACACCTGTACTTAGTGCTGCCCACTTGTGGAACGATCACTTAGGACAAATGAGGTGGAATACCAGACCTGAACGAGGTCAGAGACACTTGTCAAGCTGAGCATACTGCTTACTTGTTGCTCAGAATGTTATCCGTTCTTAATGAGACACTAGAATCAACAATTGAAACCAGAATTAATGTTAATTGAAATATTGGCAGGGATATAAACAACAAGAAGAAGGACTTAATGAAATGCAGTTATATTAAAGGAAAGAGGTGACAATGGTGATGGAAAAACAGGAATCTTCACAGGCTCTCTGAAGTTTTTGCCTTTCAGTAACCTTGTGCTGCTGTCAGCTAATAAAAATCTCTTTTGATATTGAAGGGACTCTTTAGGATTTGGGGAAAACTCTATTGGCCTTTTCCTCTGTAAAGTGGATGGTAGCATACTGTGAAGTGCAAAGTGTAGTAGAAAGATCGGAGTCAGTGGCAATCTCTCTGACTGTAATACCTGTTAGATTTATCTGATTCTACCAGATTCCTCTCTCTCTCTGTTTCTCTTTCACCTTTTAACTCTCTTTCTTTTCCTCCATTCCTGTCTGTCAGGCCTGAACCAGGTGGTGAGCGAGCAGGCGGTGGATGGTCCCAGTCCTTTGGACACGATGATTCAGAGGCTGCAGCAGGAACAAGACCAAAGACTGGGAACAAATGATGCCCCTGCTCCGGCTGCTGTGAACAGCATGGCCAGTAGAGGTGGGAGCTATGGTCATGATGGGAAGGTCATGTTGTTTGTAGTGTGGGAAGGGTTTTAATGCGACGCACGTGTAATACAAATGAGAAATGTTCCCGTCTTTGGAATAGCAAAGAAATAGTTTAAGGCAATTAATTGTCTTAGTTGAGTTAAAAATGTTGTAGCTGTATACACACAGGTTCATATCAAGCAAGTACTGTGTACATCCAGATATGATGAATTTGTGCAATTAACACATAAAAATTACACAACATAAAACATTTATAATATCTGCTTATTTATCATAGTCATACTTAATTGCTTTCCAACCCTTTGTTTGTAATTAGTGTGTCGTCAAATAGTTTGGTAAATGGTTTTTCATATGAAATATGCAAAAGCCAATTTTGCAAAACAAGCATTTTGATTTACATAGGAAACCTGAAAAGTTCAGTAAGACACATTTGAACAGAGTTGGTGAACACAGAGAACTGAGTGTTTGGGATTTGCTCCAATGTTGGCTAATCCACAAACATACTGTTCATTAAAGTCACCCATGTGTCTGTGGCTCTGTTCATCCATTCTCACGCACTCACAGCATAATGTACAGTAAATGCATTTAGCTGACTTAATCTAAAAGAAAGAGACTGTCTTCTTTATCTTTATAGACTCTGCTTTGTTTAGAATCATTATTTTTCTCATCTTTCTTTGTGTCTCTCTCTCAGTCTCTTTTAATGCTGAAAGAGCGAAACCATTACTGACCAGTCAATCAACAGAAGAGTGATCAATTAGTATTTGATTTAATGGTTAATGGTTTTTGGGAATTTCACATCTTAAAGTCCAAACCAAGGTTCATGTCTTGGTTACATCATTACATTTGATCCAGTTAGTTTTGCTTTTACATTGTAATGAATTAAGTGTTTTCCCGCTGCAAACAAACCAAGACATAGTTCTATCTTACCTGGTCTGAGACCACTTTTCGCAACTGTTATTGTGGTTCAGACAAAACTAAAAAAGTCAGACGCTCCAGACCAAGCCAGGTATGACTGAAAGTGCCCTTTGTCTTTGTCCAGCAAACGACAAAATAGTTCCTGGTTCCACCCTCTCAAATGCGAAGATTTAACAGTGGCGGTTCCTGACAAATTTCTCAGGGGGCTATGGCTAAGGTTACCTGTTTAATGGGTAACTACATGAATCTGTGTCGCTCCGGTCACTTTAACACTGACTCCTACTCATGTCATGTGTCGTGTTGTTCCGAGCACAAAATGTTGACGAGTTATTTTTCCTGATGCAGCCTCATGAACTCTGGAGCGAATCAAACAAACACTAAGTTACTTTATGTACTGATCAGGTCCTGATTACTCCTGAGGAGTGTTTATGAGTTCAAGTGAGAGCAGGTCAGAGTGGAGGAGGACACAGAAACCCCAGCTCAGCTTCTGCTCTGATCATGAAGCAGCTGATCACTGATCAGCGGTGACCAGAGAGAAACTCTGTTTGTTTCCACTGCTCTTCAACAAAGTCACTTACCTGCTTCACGTGCACGATCCTCTGCTGATCTCACTGTGTGTCGCTCTGAACGAGTGGGTAGGGGCGGGGCCCCAGGGCGTGTGTTAGTCTTTATTTGGGTTGTATAAATGCAATGATTTTCTCTGTTTTACATGATTGTAAACTGAATATCTAAGGGTTACTATTTTGCTTTCAACTGTTGTTCTGACAAAACAATCTGAAGACGTAAACTTGAGCTTTATCTGACATTTTGTAAACAAATGATTCATTGAAAATGATAAATCATTTGTTTCAGGCCAAGGCGACTCCCAATGAAATGTTGAGCTACAACATTACATTTTCCTTTCAGATGATTTGAGTTCTCTATTACTATTTATTACAATGAAGTGCTATCAAATGCTGCACCTACTCGAAACATCATCCCAAAACTAATCCTTTCTAACAATGGAAACATGGCAGAAAAGTAGGCCTCTCCTTTTAATGCTTTCCTCTTTCTTTCACATTACTTTTCCACAGGATCGGTGGGTTCGCCAATAGAGGTCCACTCCCCACCCAACGTGGGTCTACGTCGCAGCGGCCAAATCGAGGGTGTACGCCAGATGCACAGCAATGCTCCGCGCAGCCAGATGGCCACAGAGGGAGACCTGGTGGCCTGGAGCCGCAGGGTGCTGGTACCTGAGCTGGAAGACGCCTCTGTCGGGTAAAACGCACACAGATGCATACAATACTCATAAAGTCAGACTATGGAGGGTTGAACACCTCAAGAGTTCCCTGGTGGTGGTAGCTTTAATGTCCATCAAGCCCTTGTGCACGTGTGTGTGATTATGCAGGAGGCAGGTGACCTGGCGTGAGGCTAAAGGGGAGGAGGAAATCAATATTTATCAGTCAGAGAGGAGGAGACGCACCATCCACTCTCTCCCCAAGGAGAGCAGGGTAAGTGAAATACCACATTCTCACACACACAGGCACACAGATGTTATTGTTTTACAACAATTAAGGGAAATGATTTCTTATTAAAATAATTATATATAACATTGTATTGATGGCTCTCCGTTGTGCAGGTTCATCCCACATCAGAGTGTGTCGTTGAAGAGGGGCGGAAGAGTCAGGGTAACCATGGTTATCACACTCGTGCTGCCATGGAAGAGACGAGTCGACAGAGCGCTGAGGGTGCAGACGACGATGACAGCACCTCAGAGGTAGATACACTGCTGCGACAGCCTTGATTTGGATCTGTCTCAAAATCTGACTGTGTGTTTACTACAAAACTGGTCATTTTTTATGTGTCAAGTGTTTTATTAGATATTAAAGTTAAATAATTGTGTGTTTTTTCAGGGAGAGGTTGAGGTACGTCAAATCAACGGCCATTCCTCAGAGGAGGAGAAGGAGGAAGAGCAAAAAGAGCCCTGGCCAGATGACCACAGTAGTTCAAGGTAGACACATACAGTATATCACACATATTTATCATCTATCTCCTACATACATGGATGTTCCATGACCAAATGATAAAAACACAAGCATATACATCTGGTTGTTTTATCTTTGTCCTATTTGCAGCGACTACTCCAGTGATTACTCGGACTGGACGGCAGACGCAGGCATCAACCTTGAACCGCCCAAGAAGAGCGTTAAAGTAAAAAAGAAGAGCAGTGGCTCTGAGGAGGATGGAGAAAAGAAGAGGGATGGGAAGAAGGACAGGAAGAAGGACAAACCAGACAAAGACGGCGCGTTACCAAAGAAGAAGAAGCCAAAGGAAAAGAGGAAGGTTCGAATACAATTTTATTTTCCTCCTTGTGGCAACACAAAGAATAAGTGTGTGATACAGTAATGAGCCCTCAGCTTTCAGCCATCACAAGTAACTGTTTTAACTAAAACCTATTTTAAAGATATTTGTCGACCACGATCGAATCGTTCAGTGTTACTCTACTAGGTTACTCTACTAT